GATTCGAACCCGCCACCTTAGGTGTTTGTGGCTGGCGCCTTAGCCACTTGAGCCACAGGTGCCGAGCCTCCTAAATGTAAATTATTAAAAGCAAATTTTATCAAAGGCTATAGCTGACAAAGTGGTATCCCTGTCAATTCCCACAAGACATTGTAGGCTGGAACAGTAAAGTGGTAAAGTAGGGCTATCTTTTCTAAATAGACATTGTTTGTTTCTGTTGACTTTTTCATGATTTGTGCGTTTATTTATATAAAAATGCTTACAAAGACATATAAATTAAATTACTGTCAAATTTTATACATACACAATGATTTGCCTTTTATTTTGGAGGCAGAGTCTCACTTTTGCCCCATTGCTAGAGTGCCATGGCTTTAGCCTAGCTCCCAGAAACCTCAAACTCCTGGATTTAAGCAACTCTCCTGCCTCAGCCTCTTGGGTAGCTGGGACTACAGGTGCCCACCACAATGCCTAATTTTTCTATTTTTGGTAGAAATGGGGTCTTGCTTTTGCTCAGGCTGGTATCCAACTCCTGAGCTCAAGAGAGCCTCCCACCTAGGCCTCTCAGAGTACTAGGATTACAGGTGTGAGCCATTGCACCTGGCCTAAATTACCTTTTTAAAAATAATGCAGATCAGGCTCAGCGCCTGTGGTTCAAGCAGCTAAGGCGCCAGCCACATACACCTAAGGTGGCAGGTTCGTATCCCCAGCCCGGGCCCGCCAAACAACAATGATGGCTGCAACCAAAAAATGGCCAGGCGTTGTGGCCTATCTCTTGCTGAGGCTGGTCTCGAACACGTGAGCTCAATCGAGTCACCTCCCTCAGCCTCCCCGAGTAGGATTATAGGCATGAGCTCTAAGGAGTAACTTAAAGTGATTTTTTTTTTTTTTTTTTTTTTGTAGAGACAGAGTCACTTTTTCGCCCTTGGTAGAGTGCAGCGGAGTCGCTCCACCAACCTCCCAACTCCTGGGCTTAGGCGATTCTTCTGCCTCAGCCTCCCAAGTAGCTGGGACTACAGGCGCCCGCCAACACACCCCACTATTTTTTTGTTACTGCAGTTTGGCCGGGGCTGGGTTTGAACCCACCACCCTCGGTATATGGGGCCGGCGCCCTACTCACTGAGCCACAGGCGCCTCCCATGATATTTTTTTTTCAGATAGTCTTACTATGTCACCGTCAGTAGAGTGCCATGGCATCACAGCTCAAAGCAACCTCAAACTCTTGGGCTTAAGCGATTCTCTTCCCTCAGCCTCCCAAGTAGCTGGGACTACAGGCACCTGGCTGGGTTCGAACCTGCCAGCCTTGGTGTATGTGGCTGGTGCCTTGAGCCCTTAAATTGATAATTGCCTTTAAATGAGGGGAAGCAATGACACCCAGCAAATAAGGCTTCTTGCTCTACTGTTCTCCAGTGCCTGTGTTTGCTTGATTGGTAGACATGGGTCAAAAAAGCCACCACAGCAGCATGAATTGGTAAACTGTAGATAAGTCCAAGTTTGAATGAAATGGTATGTCTTACTCCCTGGACCGTTTTTGGTCATGAGCCTGTCACTCTAATGGCAGTAAGATCATTGGCCCCTGCTGAGCTCTTTTGGCCGATTCCTTGAGCCAGAGTTTAGCTTTGTATCATCACCTCACTTACTCCCCATCTGAGCCAAAAATTCCAATAAACAGAAACTCTTCAAAACAGATGGGTAATCACAAGCAGCTTCTGGAGAGCCCTGAGAATTGAAATTTTGACACACTCCCTCCGACCGTGACAGAAAGCTAAACTTGCCAGCTGAAGGGAAGCTCCTGGCTGAGCCCCAGCACCCTCTGTTGGGGCTTCTGGTCAGCCTGGCCAATAAGCATTTCCCATCCTTCGCTGCAGTGCTACCACAGCTGAGAGAATTTGGTCCCGAGTCAAATGCTTCTGAAAATGTACACACAGATCAGGGCAGCCCTCTGTTTTCTGCCAAGACACTGAGTGCCCTTCTTGGCAAAAGATGATCACCCCTGCCCTAATGTCTCTCCAGTTGGCAGAAACTGTTCCCTCTCTCCTCTCCAGCAGCTGCAAATCCAGGGACTTTCACCCTGTGTGCGGGAGGAGTTTTGGTCCTGTTTCAACTCTTTATTGCTAAAGTAGGACCACTAGGTTCTTAGCTCTCATAGTCTCCTCTTTCCCTCCTTTTAGGGGGAAATGAGGGCTGACAAATCCCCTGCTGGAAGAGGCTACTCAAAGCTCACAGAATAGGTGTAATTTCACTACTCTTGCAATCTCAGCTTAACCTCCACACTAGATCTCATGTCCAAAAACCCAGAAGACCCCAGCTAGGTGGACGTACCTGGTACAACCTGGAGACAGGGTTTTTTCTCTGGCTTTGGAGGAAATCTAGTTGCTATTCCCTAAGGATCTAAGGAATGGGCTGATTTTATGGCTAGCAGCTGTCCTTTTATCATCCTATTAACAGTCTTTAATAGTCTGGGAGAGGGACATGAAGAGCCTAGGGCAGGAAGCTTCCTGTTTACTCTGAGGTCCAACAATGCCACAGCTGGGTGGGGCGCCTACAAATTAAGAGAAAAGTCATTTCCTTCTGAGACTTGGCTGAAACAGAAACCAGATGCCTCCTGTACCTGGAAGTTGATGCTTTTTTGTTCTTTAATAAAGGTGAGAGGAGAGGGAGTGTTTGACATGTCTTTAGCAGTCTCGCTGGGGGAAAAAAAAAAAAAAAACTCTTCACCAGACCCTCTCCCTATCATTTAAAAATGTAATATGTCCAGGCTCAAATAACTGTAATAAGAGTTGCTAGCAGATGCATAGAAACATTATTCAAGGCAGAAAGTGATCAATTGTGGAGAGTTAAAGGACACTTAAACTTCTTGCTCTGTTTTTTACTATTTGAAACTTTTTATGATGGGGATGAATTAAAGTTTTACTCGTGCACTTAGAAAAAGGTAAGTGAGGCATAGATTGTGTCCTTTGTAAATTCATGCAAGGAGAAGATCCCTTCCATCTTGGGATACCTAAAAAGACTTGATGGGGAAGTGGCAGTTAAGTTGGACTTGGAAAGATAAGTAGGATTTGAAAGTTAAGTGTAGAGAATGGATCCGAAGGTAGGATATGGGACAGTACGGGATAAGAAGAGCACCATGTGAGTGGAGCTGAGCTGTTATCCTTATTGCAATCTAGGCCTTGAAATATCAGCCCCAAGCCTAATGCTACCGTGTACGAGCTGTGTAAACTTGAGGCAGATACTGAATCTCTAAGCCTTAGTTTACTCATCTGTACAATGAAGATAATACCATCCACATCATAGATGTGACTAATAACCTCTTATAGGGTAGCTCTGGGAATTAACTATTACCTCATGAAAAGTATCTAGAATAGGCCAGGCATGGTGGCTCAGGTTTGTAATCCCAGCATTTTAGGAAGTTGAGGCAGGAGGATCACTTGAGGTAAGGAGTTTAAGACCAGCCTGGGCAACATTTTATAAAGATCCAGTCTTTACAAAAAATCAAAAAATTAGCCAGGTATAGTAGCTATAGTTCCAGTTACTCAGGAGGCTGAGGCAAAGGGATCACTGAGCCAAGGAATTTGAGGCTGCGGTGAGCTACGATAATACCACTGTACTCTAGCCCAGGCAACAAAGCCTGTCTCAAAAAAAAAAAAAAAAGGTTTTGGGTGGCACCTCTCCCTCAGTGAGTAGGGTGCCTGCCCCATATACAGAGGGTGGCGGGTTCAAACCCAGTTCCAGCCAAACTGCAACAAAAATACAGCCAGGTATTATGGCGGGTGCCTATAGTCCCAGCTACTTGGGAGGCTGAGGCAAGAGAATCGCCTAAGCACAAGAGCTGGAGGTTGCTATGAGCTGTGACACCACAGTGCTCTACTGAGGGCAACAAAGTGAGACTCTTATCTCTAAAAAAAAAATTAAAAATAGTGTTTATAATAGCACTAACAAAGGAATAGCTGCATTTTGAAAATGTTGAGTTAACAGTGCCAGCAGCACATTCATGTGCCAGGAAATGTGGAACTGGAGACAAGGAGAAG